GCCCAGGTTTGGTTGGTGGCGGCCGATGGGGTGAGTTCATTCATGGTCTACGGCGGTGCCTTTGGGGGTCTCATTGTCCATGGGTGGGTGAAGGTCTGGCTGTGGGGGGTGGGTGGAAGAGTAGAAGCATGGATGGATGGAAGCAGTGGTGGACATGTGAAGATGCAGTTCCTGGCACATGGTTCTCACTCTTACTTCAGAGGCTTGTGGCCCTTCCTCCCACATCACCTGGCCTCCACTGCTCAGGTTGCCTCCAGAATCTCAAAATGTCCAGGGGCTTTCAGCAGGTGCCCCATGATACTGGCGATGCCACATGCCTCACGTCTATTAGGGAACTTGCTCATTGCCAGAAATCAATGCAGATGAATCAATTCTTAAAAAATGTTAACTGTGAGCAGAGGCAAAATAGCAACTGACCTACATTCAGCACTTGTGCAACAGCACCCATGACAATATGCAATAAAAGAAATTCAGCAATAGACAGGTTTCTTTGTGTGGATGGATCTACGCTAACTGGACTGAGGATGTGAGTGGGCCTGGGGACAGAGCTTTGCTGATTCTTGTCAGTGAATATGGGGCTTGCCTGGTGCTTGGGCAGACCACATGAGCTCTGGCCAAGGCTAGAGCACCACCCTGGGAGCGGGGGTGAGCAGGGTGCTGCATAGCCCCATAGGTTGCTGGCAGAATGCAACCTAATGTGAGTTGTGCTGGGATGTGGTATGGCGCTCTAACCTACAGTGCTGAAGTCTGATACCACATGCACCCAGGGTTATCTTAGAGTGGGAACCGTCATTTTTACAGCACTCTAGATACCCTGACCATCAGTTTGGTTATGGCTATAGAACACTTTCTGTGTGCTTACAGTGCAATAAGTGCAATAAGTGCAACTTTTGTACCTGGCCTGGCTTCCCAGCACAGTGCTGAAATTATTGTGCCAAAGATAAGCATTCCCCAGCCTTCTGTCTAGCATGTTTGTTCAAGATGGCCCCATGTGGGGCGAGGAGGAAGAGACCAACTTGGATGGTGTGTGGCTCAGTGTGATGGGTGCTGACTGCAGGCCCTGTGTTTTACTCTGACTGTTATACGTTGGGCCGTGCCCAGCTTCAAAAGGAGCTTTGGAGAAGGGGCTAAGTAATACCTAAACTGTGGTATAGTGGGTATAATACCTGAAGAATCTAAGAAAGCCAGGTTCAGACCTCATTTGGGTCAGGTATGCTTAGAACCCATGTCTCAGGATGCGTAGCCAAGTGTCCAACTACCCTCATATTGGGCTTAAGACATGGAGAGCTTCATTCCCACCCTTGTGCTTTTTTCTGGGATCTACACTCAGGTAGGTGCCACATTCTCAGGTAAGTAGCCATTCACATACATGGGCACTATGAAGCCTACCGTGTACGCCAAGTCTACATGCGCATGTTCACATGTTCACATTGTAGGGGAAACAGAATCACAACTCTTCATAAGTGGCAAAAATGTCACGTATTTAACCAGAAAACTGCCATTTTGATGCACAAAAGGAAAGAGAATTACACATTTAGGGTGTGGCCAGAAGAGTGCACATGTGCCTCAAAGCTGTGAGGGGCTGCAAACCGCATGCGGTGCACCCATTTACTACACTGATAATTTTTAATGCAGCACTGAAATTTGACACCAAGGAATCCTGGTGTCAAAAAAACCTGCTGTTAAGAAAAGTGGCACAGAACACACAGTAGCAGTGTGCGCCATCAGAAATGGAGGGTGGCAAGTGAGAGACATGCTCTGGTTGCTGACCAGGCTTTAAGTGGCCGAACTGGCACTGCTGCTGCCCCCAGGAAGCCCCCAGGACCCCATATAAAGCTGCTGGGGCCAGCCCAGATGCTGGCACCAGCCTCTCCTACCCCACCCAGGTCAGTTTGCTGCACACTGGATATGTGCCACTGTTTTTTGTGTGGCAGGAAATGTACCCCTGCACATGTGTGGACATGCCTCCAGTGTGCAAAACTTAGTGTTAAGTATTACCTCTAGCTTTGGGAACATCTGAACGGAAACAAAATAAGAACTTTACAATATCTACCTATAAAATATTATATGCAAAGACTATATAAATTACATTATTTTTAATATTGCACATGGTGTGAATCAAAAAAGAGTTCAAGATATTTAATTTTAAAGGGATAGAGTACCAGAACATGATATCCAGAAGTGTTGGGATTTTTTCTTACAGAAAATTGATATTTTCAGATAGGAGTATTGCATCCAGTTCTGGGCACCACACTTTAGCAAGGATGTGGACAACTATGAGAGAGTTCAAAGAAGAGCCACCCATATGATCAGACTCTTACACGGCAAGCCGTATGAAGCATAAGAATTACTGTTCTCACAAACTGGCCTTTGTAGTGATCACCAGATTCAATTAACACAGGCTTACATGAATACGAATAACTAAACAGTGAACTATATTGTGGCATAGTAGGCAATCTCTACAGGCCCCGAGTCTCTTTCTTACTAACTGGGTACATTTACAGGAGATGTTTACTGGAGAGCTGCATAATAAGCTCTGCAGTAGCCTCTGCATCTACACTTGTGGCCCTCTTAGACCACAGTAAGTGAATTAACTCTGCAGTAGGTAAATACAAGTACCAACCCCCCGCGGAGGTTTTTAGTGTGCACCAATGCATATGTAGATGCTGATGGGGCTGGCTGGGGCACAAGGGTGCTTCAGTGTGGGGGTTGCCTGCTGGCTAGTCCTGCACTGGAGCACCCTTGTCCCCCAGCCAGCATAACTGTAGCATGGGAGTTGGGTTGGAGCAGCTCTGGGATGGTAGGCTGACCCCCTTGGACTCCTCTGCCTGTGGGGGCTGTGCCACCCTGACTCAACATGCTGTGTTCCCAGGTGCATGTGTAGATGCTATGCCCAGGAACAATAAACTCTGGCATGAACTGCATTGGAGTTTATTCAGGTGCACTAATTGGACATGTAGATGGGGGAGGAAACCCTGTCTGTTTATAACACCTTTATCTTTGGAGAAGGCCAAAATATGCAGTTAAGACTAATACTGGCCACATTTAAGGAGTCCTGACTAATACTGTCCACATTTGAGGAGTCCTGCACGCCATGAAAAGAATGAGACTCTTGAAAGATTCAGATTTTTTATGTGAAAACAAAAAACAGGAGAAAGTGTAGATCAGTATGTTCCTGAACTAAAGAGACTGAGTAAGGACTGTGCTTTTGGGAACAGGGCAACATCTCTGATTAGATGTAGAATTATTTGTGGCATTGCAGACAATGTGTTACAAGAAAGGTGCTTGCCTGAGGGAGGCTTGTCCCTAGAATAGATTATCCAAATGTTCAGGGCAGCAGAAAGTGTGAATGCTCAGACTGCAGAGCTGAATGCACCAAGAGGGATACTCCATGCAGTAGACATGAAAGCATGTGGCCAGAAAAAGCCACCTCACAAGGTGGAATTTTCCACTGGCAAGGAGACTGCCAAATGAGGGAGAGCAACTTGGAAAGCTCTGTTTTAACTGTAACAAGAAAAACAATTTTACCAGGTGTTTTAGACACAAACATCTCTTGAGCAGACAATGCAGAAAGGTTTTTTTATAGTTATGGTTGAATCCAGCAAGATCAATGAAAGGAACTTAGTTTTGCCGATATAAGTGTGAGGAACAATAATTCAATTTAAATTGCACTGGTGCTCAGATTAATATTTTACCTGAGCACAAATATAGAAAATTAAAACTGAGGCCAAAAGTAAGTCCAACAAACATCAAAATAACTGGTTATTCCCCAAATATACCAGTGAAAGGGAGATGCATTATTAGCATTCAGTATGAAAACAGAGCAGACAAATGCCCATTCATTGTGGTACCTAGGGAGATGACTTCTATTTTAGCTCTGGAAGCTTGTGAGAAACTGAATCTATGTAAGTATATGCCTGCAGTGCAAGAAGACAACTTTCATGCTGTTATGATCCTCTTGGTCATCACACCCCAGTTCTGGACAGTTTTAGGAAGAAATCAGTTCTTCCAGAAGACAAGAAGCAACCATGCCCTTATGGGAAAAAAATGAACGTAAGAACACAAATGCAAATACTATCCAGAAAGAGGGAAAAAGCCTCAGTGGCTGGTAGCTAATGAAGTCTGTACTATGTGCAAAAGTACAGATGCCAAAAATGCAAGCCAGTTGGATCCCTCTATAAGGATTCAAGTTTATCAGGACTTGAAGGAAAAGCTTTCCACTAAAACCAAATCAGAAGCTGGATCTGATACTTCACAGGTCTGAGAAAAAAAGTGGAATATCCTAAAAGATTACAGAGACTTGTTAAAAGAACTGCAGGAAAGAGGGAATAGAAAAGTGAGTGGTAAAGACTCGCTACAGAGTGACACACTAGTAACCTTTCTTCTGTAGATGGGTGCTACTTGATTTTTGTGTGAACTGATTTTTTTAGTTATTGGTAAGAGGAAAGATGTATTAAAAGAAGTTATAATTTAGAGATGCTCCCTAACAGGAGACTGAGGGAGTTAGGAGATGGTCCCTCTGTAAGGAAGCAGCTAGTTAGTGGGTGTGTCTACATATCCTACCAGTGTTTATTGCTCCTGGCTTCCACATTTACACATGCACCCAGGAACTGCAGCACTTTGAGCTGGGCCAGAGCAGCCCCATCTGGCAAGGGTAAATAACCTCTCCTTAGAATAGTACTTGTATTGGGCAGTACTATCCTATAGCAATAAAAAATTAATTTACTTTGGTCTAATAGCATCGCTCATGTAGATGGTGACGCTTTACTGTGGAGCTAACTAGGCAACTCCACAGTAAGTGTTTCATGTTGATACACCTTCTATGTAAGATATATTGTTTGACTTTGTCAGTTTTTATTTCTGCCTCTGTAGCTGCTAGGTAACACACACATTTTTGTCCAAATGCTTTCTAGATCTCTAATTTATTACCCAACAGTAGAAGGTCTAGTGGAAGTTGCAACACTTTCTTGACTGTTGTCAGATCATAACTGATCACTTACTGTGGCCCTTGTTCTTCCCCATGACTGCATTTCTCCACTTGCTTTCAGGTTCCACCTTCTTCTTCAGTTTGGATCTTAAGTTTTTTCAAGTTCTGTTTCATTCCCCACTCTTGACAGCTTGTAGTGATCACTGGGTTAAATAAAAATAGGCATAAGTGAATAAGAACTAAACAATGGATTTTATTGTGGAGCAGTAAATAACCTCTGCAGACCCTTGGTCTCTCTCTAACTAGCTACCTGATCCCTAAATGAGTAAACATCTCCCAACTGGAGCTCCGACAGGCTCCTATTAGGGAGCATCTCTAAATTATAACTTCTATTGATACAGCCGTGCAACATTTTTAATTGATTTCTTGTTTGTTTTTTCAACTAGTAACAGAATGAATCTTATTTTTGAGGTGCTTGTTTTTTTGAGGATAAAAGTGAAAAGTTTCCACAGAAAGCAGACACTTACACTTTTCATGAAAAAGGTTAGTTGAAAACCTAGGTTTCCACCAGAAACAGATTCTAAAGCAAATTAATCCTATTTTGGTCAGTCAGTCAGGTCTCTTTCTTTCATCTGGAAAGCTGTCTTCCATCTTCCATCTATTATTTCCTATTCATAGGATTCTGGTTTTCTCTGATTTAAAAAATCCTCAATTTTTGGGTTAAAAAAGTAACCCCAAATCCACATTTTTCCATTATTAAAATGAAATGCATAGATATATATGTATAATGGTGTTTCATTTTGATCATGGAAAAATGTGGATTTTAGGTTACTTTTTTTAACCCGAAAATTGGGGATTTTTTTTTATCAGAGAAAACCAGGATCCTTGTTCATCAGGCTTGTGTAGCAGTCTTTACTTCTTCCCATGCTATTCTGATGGATCTTCATTCAACCTCTCTTGTATGTCTCCATGATGTTTTTCACTTGCCTTGATACTTTTTGCCTAAGGGATTTCAGCATAATATCTGATGTGTTATGCTGCTGGGTCCTTTCTTTAATTGTGTCCCCTAGCTATCTCCTTTCTTACTCAGTTACTTCTAGTCCTATTAGATTTTTTTTTGTCCTTCTCAATACAGCTTTGCTTGTTTTTTTTTCCTTTATCTTTTTCTCTTTTTTTGCTTGTGATGTAGCAGATTAGTGACAAACAGCACTAGATCTTGAATCAAACATATAGTATATGTAAGCTGTCCTGGAGAGCACCTTCAAGACTGACACATTTTCCAAAGTGTCTTTGGCCAGGCACCTCTGCCACTGGTCACATTTGCTCTAGCTGCCCAGGGTCCCTCTCCAGGTCCACAATATGGGAATCCAAGCTGCTCTTGGAGTATAGCAGGGAAACCACTCTGGCCTCAGGCACCTTGCTCCAAGATGCTTCCTGCTTTGCTAAAACTCAAATCCCGGCTGGCACTGGAAGCCCTGCCCAGGTTACTAATGGGTCTTGTGCAGAGCCCAAAAGAAACGTACACACAAAAAAAGCTTGTGACTAGGGAGCCCACAAACAGGGGAAGCAGTTTGCAGGCAGTTGCTGGAGGCAAGAGAAAGGAGGTGAGAAGCCAGGCAGCAGATCTTACCCAGGAAAGGTAAATGATCCAGTTGCTCATGCCTTTGGTTTTGCTGAGTGTTTGGCTGGTAGGCTGTGTGTACTCTGAGAAGCTGGGAATGATTGCTGAGTGATTGCTGATTGTTGATGTGAGGAATTGCTGACTGCTGAGTGATTGCTGATTGTTGAGGGATTGCTGATTGACGCGCGAGTGATTGCTGGGTGATTGCTGCCTGGGCCTGACAGAAGCCCTAACAAGGGGGCTGAGTCAGCCCAGGCCCAACAGGGTATAAAAGAAGACTCACCAGGTGACTAGGGAACCTGTGAACAGGGAAAGCAGTTTGCAGGCAGTTCACAGGCCAGTTCATGGGTAGTAGCATAGCCTATTAATATACAATGGTAGGGATGAGTTGTGCCCTGCAGCTTCCCACTTCCGCCCCAACTCATGCTCTCTTCCCTTGCACCACTGAGGCCTCCACCCAGACAGAACCATGGTTCTGGCCTCCACCCAGATGGATCCCCTGGCATTAAGCTGCGGGGGCTGCCTGGCACGGCTGCCAGCAACTGGGAATGGGAGCAAGGTCACCCCCACCTGTGGTATATGCTCCTTAGTGCTTCCCGGAGTCCTAGGTGACTCAGCTCCAGGCCCAGGTAGGCAGACTTTGTGCCATCAGGGCCCACGGACAGGATACTGATGGCTACTACAGTCAGGCTCTTCTCCTGAAGAAGGAAGAGAGAAGAGCATAGATGCCCGACTACATGAAGATGAACAACAGGAAGATCAACCAGGAGCTGCACCTGGGGGATGCTTGGAAGACAGCTGTATCGGGTCCTAAGATGCGCGGTACCAGGGTCACTCCTCTCTTGGAACTGAACAACAGATATGCACTCTCACACCATCAGCAGAGACATCAGCAGAAGCACCGGCTCTGGATGAGGGGAGCAGCTAGCTGCCACCCCTAAGAAGAGTTCCAGGGTGGTTGTGGTGGGCGACTCCCTTCTGAGAGGGACAGAGGGAGTGATCTTCCACCCTGGCCTATGAGGTCTGCTGCCTCCCTGGGGCCCATATCCAGGATGTGGCAGAGTGGATTCCTAAACTCATCTGACCCTTCGACCACTACCTCATGCTCCTCATCCACACATGCACGAATGATTACAGCTCAGAGGAATCATGGCTGGGTCATAGATTCATAGATTGTAGAGTCGGAAGGGACCACAATGGATCATCGTGTCTGACCCCCTGCCCCTGGCAGGAAAGAGGACCGAGGTCAGATGACCCCAGCCAGGTGACTATCTAGCCTCCTCTTGAAGACCTCCAAGCTAGGTGATAGCACCACCTCTCGGAAGCCCATTCCAGATCCTGGCCACCCGTACTGTGAAAAATTTCTTCCTAATATCTAACCTAAATCCACTCAACTAGTTTACACCCGCTATTCCTAGTCACTCCCTGGGGTGCCTTAGTAAACAGTGCTTCCCCTATTCCCTGTTGACCTCCCCTAATAAATTTATAGGCGGCCACAAGCTCTCCCCTCAGGCATCTCTTGTGAAGGCTGAAGAGATTCAGCTCTCTCAATCTCCCCCCGAAAGGTCTATCATGAAGGCCATGACTGCTCTGGGAGTGAGGCTCAGAGGGTTGGGGTGCAGGTAGTTTTCTCCTTGATCCTTCCAGTTATGGGTCACGGGCACAGGAGGGAGACGTACTGAAGAAGTCAACAGAAGACTGTGGCATTGGTGTCATCCTGAAGGCTCTGGCTTCTTTGATCACAGTCCACACTTCAGAGAGAGAGGCAGTGGTTTGTTGGGAAGGGACAGCCTTCACCTCACTTCGATGGGAAAGAAGCTCTTTTCAGCCAGAATGGCTGACCTGCTTGACAGGGCTTTAAACTATGATTGCTGGGGGATGGGTGGACAATCACTAGTGCAAATCCTAGAAGTGACAACCACAGAATCAGCAAGTCAGATAACACAAAGGAACTCACTCCTACCACAGCCCAAGGACAGGGCTTTTCTAAGAGGTCAGGGAAGCCCAGGGCTTCTGATGGCAGGCTTAGCTGCCTATACACAAATGCCAGGAGCATGGGGAACAAACAAGAGGAACTGACCCTTCTGCTAAGCAAAGATGAATACAATCTCATAGGGATACCAGAGACCTGGTCGGGCTCCACCCATGACTGGACTACAGGTGTTGACAGCTATACCTTGTATAGGAGTAATTGTGTTGCAAGGAAGGGTGGGGGTGTAGCTCTATATGAAGGAGCAGTACACTTCCTTACAAGCAGAGATTGTCACCCAAGGAGGGTGACTTAAGATCCTCTGTGTTAGAATATGGGAAGAATGTGGTGAAGGGAATATAACTAATAGGAGTCTATTACAGACCTCTTAAAGAGGGGGAAGAGCTTGACCAAGTATTTGCTAGGGAACTGGCAGAGGCTGCACACTTTTGGTGCATGGTCATTATGGGTGGCTTCAACCACACTGAATGCTCTTACCATGAATCTCATGGTAAGAGCATTCAGCCAAATCTGATTGGTCGTGAAGCTTCCTCACTTGCACTGATGAGTTCTATTTGACTCAAGAGGCACGTCCAGATGAGCCTGCACGTGCCTCTTGCAGCATCTTAAACCCCTTTAAGATGCTGCAAGAGGCATGTGTGGGAATGGGAAGAGGTTCCCCCCGCTGCAAGTTTGCAGCACGGGGCCAGAATTAGACCCCTGGATATTCAGGGGCCAAAAAAAAACAGATTGAAAAGAAGCAGGGTAGGGCATGGTCCCAGACCATGTCCTGAGGCAACCGGAGGCAGGGTCCTCCACAGAGATGCTCTGGTAGCAGCCAGAGCATCTCTGTGGTTGGCCCTTGCCACGGTGCTGAAGCATGCTGCCTGCCCATGCAGGGCAGGCAGCGTGCCAGCTGCAGGAAGCTGGACCTGGGCAGGGTTAGCGGGGCTGGAGGAGGGGGGAGGGGACCATTGGGGGTCCCCAGCCAGCCCCGTCTGCACCCTGAGCCCCCTGGATCCCTGCCGCACCCGGCCCCATTCCCCACACCAGCCTCCTGGCTCCATGCCCTGCTTGGCTCCACCCTGCTAGTGACCCTGATGGCTGCTCTGCCCTGCCCCATTCCCTGCCTGCCCCTTGAGCCCCCCTGATCCCTGCCCCACCTGGCCCAATCCCTGCCCACCCCTGTCTCCCCATCACTGCCCCACCCATCCCCATCCCCACCATCACTGCCCTATCTGGTCTTATCCCCTCCAACCCACTGATCACTGCCCTGTCACCCCAGCATCCCCACAATTTAAAAAAAATCTAACCTCACCTCCAGCACTTACTGGCAGTACAGCTGTTGTCTGGGTCACTGCCCCACCCCTGCACAGTACGGGGCCAGATGACAGCCCCAGAGGCCCCAGTCTGGGCCCCACTGCCCCCAGCTGTCCGGGGGGGCTCTGCGAGAAGGCCCCAGAATCCCCACAGCCCCTGCTTGGTGAGTAGAGGCTTTTTTTTTTTTTAAGCGTCAGAGCCTAGGGTGGGGCAGC